TTTTGTTTTTGTCTATCTCTAGCTATTATACTAGAACACCTTACTATTTTCTAATTCTCTCTCTGTCTGATATATTTCCTATTCAGTATACAGTGTCCATCCATTACAATACAAACCTGGCTGTTCTCATTTCTACCTTTATAATGGTTCATGACCTTTTTATGTTTCTTATGAAAGGCCAATTGTACACAAAGATAATGCTAAGTTCTTGAGAAAAAGTATTCTCTTGAGACTCAAACATCATGGTTAACCTAATTCTTTCTGTTTTCTAAAACTTATTTGATTCCCTATTTGGCCTGGAGATAAAACAAGAGATAAGTGGTTAACAGATTTGAAATTCTGTTCTCAGTATAAGATTGGTGGAGTTTATTAAAACACTAGCATAATAACCATCACAATATGATTATTTACAAATAGATTTGGCACTAGATTTATGTTATTTCTAGGATCAGTGTTCCACTTTGACATTTTTTTGTCTTGAATAAGCCCTCTTTTACTGGCCTTTGGGCTGAGATCAAAGTGTAGTATCTGCCTTCAGACGGAATTGTGTCTCTGTCTTCAGACAGCAACTGAAAATATTATTGAAAGATGCTTGGTCTCTGGGAACAGTTTAGATATTGTAATACTAAATTTATTCAGATATCACAAGATTAATACAAGTTACCTTTGGACTCTACAATCACAAAAATGTTCAAAATGGTTGCCTTAAGCTTCTAGACATTTATTAGTATGATGAACTACTGCTTGGGCAATGTTGACCAAAGTGTTCAGTGGGATTGTTTCACATGCATTTTCAGTTTCTTGTCCAAGGGCCACCAATGTAGTCAGTTTTCTGTGATACACATCATCATTTAGTGTCCCCTATAGGTAAAAGTCTAAAAATTATGAAAGACAAATGTTTTTCTTTCCTGTATACAATTTTTTTGACAGACTGTGTGTGTATGTGTTTATATATATATATATATATATATATATATATATATATATATATATTGTCATTTTCTGTTGCATACTTGTAATAAGACTGATCGTTAATGGTTGGGTGTTAATGTTGTGTAAGATTTGAATCATAGCCAACTAGTTTTAAAAAAAACGCCTTTTTATCTGATGACCCAAAATTCAATATATGATAACCCATTGTATCTGATTATTTCTTTCTATAGCTCATATTAGACTTGACTTTATTCTTCAATTTCTGTTACAACTATGTATCTAGATTTCCCCTTCTATTAAATCTTTTTTCTGTAATGTCGCATTTTAGCTGTTTTTAAACCATATGATTCATGTAATTATCTCCCAATATATGCTTTCCTGTCTTTCTATCTTGAAATTAAATTCTTAAATCAATGTTAATATCTGAAATAAGTTAAAAATTAAGTTTACCAGATGGTAGGCAATTTTTTTTTTTCATGATTAGAATATGATAAAATAATTTCTTTCCCTGGCTTTAAAAATTTCAATCCATATAAGTTCAGAATTATTTGAAAATATTATTTTTAAGAGAGATTATTTAGATTCAAGAGAAAAAGTTAAAAACAAAAGAAATTAAATAAATTGATGAATTTTTTTTTTTTCATGGACATCAAATTAGGAAAGATTTCTAAAGGAATTTTGAAATAGAATTTGGGAAAAGGGAAACAGATCAGACTTGTTCAATTTAAAGGAATCAATAATCACTTGATCCCTTTAAGATGTAAAATGACAGAATCTAATGAAACAACTAAAAAAAATAAATCTGATCAGAGAAATTTTAGAAAATTTGAACTGAAAATCAAGAATGAAGCATTTAATTTCAAGGTCAGGAAGAAACGTGTTTAATTATTGATATTTGAGAGGAGGAAGCAGTTTAGAATTAAAAAAAAAAGTATTGAAATATTTTGCTGATTTTTATTATTTCAACTTTAAAAATGTTTATTAAAAATGTTTAATTTCTGAATATGTTTGCATATTTATATAAGTTACTCTAAACCAAAATCCATTTAATGGTAGCAAATACTGTATTTGATGACATATCAGATCCTTCTATTTACTTATTTACATTTGATATTATAATATTCTGCAATGTTAGTGTTCCTGACCTGGAACTTTCCCACTACTGTAACGTAGCTTCCCTGTGTTTTTCTATAAATATTTTCACGGTAATTATTCTAATGAAGTTTCCTCTTTTGTACCTCGACTTTACAAATTTAAGCACAGTACTAAATTGGCAGCTAGTTCTCCTCATCTTACAGTTGAAATGGCTTGATGTAAGTTCTATGTTTCTTCTTAATGAATGCTTTATGAACTTTCTTCCAGTTTCTTGCTTTGCTTCAGTAACCCCTTTGCATCTTAGTGGCTTTATTGCCTTGCTTTGGATGAAATGATTAAAAAAGGCTAAAGTACTGGTAGCCTATAACATCTAGATAAACAGTTAAAATCAACTTTACATTATATGACCCAGGGAATATTTTGGGGAGCCATTTTTGTGGAGAGTGATATGGGGATTATATGCCTGAAATCTGCATCTGTGTAAAGTTGTATATGCACATATACATAAGTTAAGATAATTTTCTTTAAAACATTACAGATATTAAACAAAACAATTTCAAATTTATCTTCAGATGGAATAATTCTTGTGTGATTGACATTTGTTTAATTTTCAAATTCTTTTTTCCCATTTTTGATTCTTTCAAAAAAATTTATTGAAAATTTTAAAATTTTTTACTGCTCTTCATCACTAATCTCAGTGGTTTTTCTCTTCAGGAAAAAAAAATGTTATTTTTCTTTTATTATTCTCCCTTATTTTATTAAATTTTATTTTCTAATTTTTGAATATTTCTATTAAAATATTGATAACTTAAAATACACTGTAAAAGTAAATACATAATTACATCAATATGTCCATAGCCTAATGATGGTAAAAACATTTGTTTTCCATAACAAATATTTATTTTTCAATATTTCTTGTCAATGCACTTAATTCAGTAGTGAATATTATTCATATAGATCAAATATTTCAAATCAAAATTCAGTTAATAACATAACGTTTTACACATATATGCTTTTACTGGTATGACAATGTTCAATTAAAATAAAAATGCATTTATTGAAAAACGAATATTGCACTTGAATCTAGAACCAGAAATGAGAGAGTAATATGATGTTGTTTACATTTTTCCCACGATATTAATGGTTAATACTGAAATTAATCTTTAGATTACTGAATATCTCTTTAAATTAAGGCATCCAAACGTTTTGTATTTGTAGAAAAAGGAAAAAATATTCATTGTCATCATAGGAAGGAAGCCATATGTTGATCAAAGGCTTGCCATCTAAAAGTACCAAAATATGTATACACACCCAGATGGCTATAAAGAAATTTCAATGAGTTCATAGAGATATGTCTCTGATCATAATGAGATAGAAGTTGATTCATAAATAGAATATGCAAATAAGCAAAATATATAGATATCATTTGATAGAAATAAAGATTAAAAATCAACAAAACAATTTTTATTTACTTTTTGATTTTTTTTTTTTTTTTAAATTTTTTCTTTTGTGAAAACTTCATTAACTTATTTTTTTGCTAATTACATCTCTTGCTTGCTTCAAATTTCAGTATTTGAGTAAGTAATTTTTACTTACCTTTTGTTTTGGTGAAGACTTATGTCCACTAAAGCTGAAATTATCATCCATGTCTAACCTTAAACTCTTGTTTCCAATATTAAAGAAAGAATTGAAAGCCATTTCTAAATATTAATGCTGTCCTTACTGGAATTTTGTAATTCCTTTCTGTTTTTTTGTTTTTGTATCGAATTTTTTCCTATATAGTCACCTCTTTCTCTTTTTTTAATAATTCAGTAATGGAAACCCTAAGAATTTTAGATGTGAGTTTGTCTGGCAATAATGGGAAAGTGATGTGCTTGAATACCCTACTGAGTAATAATAATAATAATATCAGAATAATATAATTGCAAGTTAGCACGCACCTCCCTTAGGAAAACGCTTTTACTTTTCTGGGAGGATGGTGTTACTGCTGACCAGCATATCAGTGTCTATTGAATGCTCTGTCCGAACAGGGTAGTCTGATGAGATGTCATTAATATGATTACCAATGAATAATACCCAGTTGCCTTTGCTGATCTTCAGCCAGAATATGCTTTTGATTGCACTTAAACTTTTTCAAACATTTACTAATCATTAATGATTTCAGTATAGCCTATAAAACCTGGGTAACTGTCATTCCACCTTTCCCAAAGAACAATTTTAATTATTGTCTCTTGGCCTTCTAAAGTGTTTTTTCTAAATTTTCTTTTTTACTTTATATTTATTTTCTGTGTTGATTCTTTAAACAGATATATTAATGGCTAACTTTTGTCTTTTTCTACTCATTTCCAAATGTTTCTGTTCACTTGTAGGCTTCTAAAATCAATGGTATTTGAATACCACTTTTAAACAACTAGGCTTATAAAATGTTTAATAGGAATGAAACTGCAGCAAAAGCATAAATCTGTATCTCCAAACCAAAACACCTGTATTTATATGCACACATTTTTGGAATTTGCTGTATTTTATGTTATTACAAACAATAATAAATCTATCCTGATGTTAGTTAATCTTCAAAAAAAAAGAAGAATCTTGCACATTTGCTCATGTTTCCCCCACATACATCATCATCATCATCTTGCGACCTCAGCCGAGATTGAACTCACCAATACTTTGATTGGTGCAGTTCATAATCTTGTCAAATAGCTGAATTCTTGATGCTTCGCTAGGGCTATCAAGGGTGTTTTTTATTGTGACACCATCACTAAATGGATTGTCATCCAAGGCTATAGAACCCAGTCTGTCCTGCTATTTACCCATAGCTGGAGGGAGAAGAAAGAGGATTCACACCTTTCCCAAGGGTATTAGCCCGTAAGTGAATGTAATGGATTCGACTGGAATTCGAACTTGGCTCTCCGATTCCTCAATCCAAGCCGCTATCCATTACTCCACCGTGCCTCCTCGAACACCTAAGCATGAAGAAACAATTCAAATATTGCAGACAATTTCTTAAACAAGATTTTTTTTTATCTTTTGTCACTTTTTCTTCTTCTTCTGCCATTTTTAGTTACTCCCCTTGTATTTTATTCAGGCTTATTTCCTTCTCTCTCTCTTTCATTTTCCTTCTCTCTCTCTCTTTCATTTTCCTTCTCTCTCTCTCTTTCATTTTCCTTTCTCTCTCTCTTTCATTTCCATTTCTCTCTCTCTTTCATTTCCATTTCTCTCTCTCTTTCATTTCCATTTCTCTCTCTCTTTCATTTCCATTTCTCTCTCTCTTTCATTTCCATTTCTCTCTCTTTCATTTCATTTTCTCTTGTCATTTTTTCTCTCTCTCTTTTTTCATTTCTTCTTTTCATTTCTTTTGTCTCTTTTTTCATTTCTCTCTTTTGTCTTTCTTCTCTCTCTTTCGTCTTTCTTCTCTCTCTTTCGTCTTTCTTCTCTCTCTTTCGTCTTTCTTCTCTCTTTTTCTCTCTTTCATTTTTCTTATGTTTCTTGTATTTGCTTCTTCTTATCTTTCTTCTGTTCATTTTATTTTCTCTTTCTTCTATTTTCCCCTTCTTTTCTACTTTCATTTCTTTTGTTTTCATCTTCTCTTCCTTGTACTTGCTTCTTTAAAAGTTATATATTTAAATGTCAAAGTGCTAAAGTATTTTACTTTTCTTATTCTCAAGGACAGCTTTTAATTCATGATTTGTTTGTCTGATCAGATCCAAGTTGTTTCCACCATTCCTAGTGAATCACTGATCCTCACCAACTTCTCTTTTTAAAGACCGGTTTACTGCATTCATTAATAAAATATGTCACCATTTTGTCCCTTTTTCCATCAAGGTGACATTTGCTTTTATGGCAGTAAATTATTTACACCATCCTAAAGAATATGTCACCATCTCAGCATCTCTCACCAAGTAACCAAAAGTTGAAAGTAGCAAATCCTCTAATTTTTATTTCTGTAATCTCAAGCCACACTGTTGACCCAACTACAATTAGCTGAGAATAAGCAGACCTCATGTTATTAATGACAGTTCATTCATATTCCTGTTAGACAAACAAATCATAAAAGTTATAAGATATATAGGAGATAAGTAGATAAATGCAATCTGACAAAGTAATTGGAGACTTTTAGTTCTGCTGTTGGATTACATAATTATTTCATGGTTCAATATTTGTTTTATTCAAACTACTAGAATCCTTCAGTTCATGAGCTCCCAGATATTATTCCTATTTGTTGCTTTTTGGCTCTACTTGATGGCACATTGTCTTTAGCTGAAAAGTTTCATTGCATTAGATTCAATATAAGAAACATTTAAATCATAACCCACTTTTCTGGTCACTTGATGTTATCTTCAATTTTTGTTTTTTAACCAATCTCAAGAGGTTTTTATTTGACCTCAGATGATTGGTTATCTTTCAAGTTTGTTAATTTCTGATCTCATAATTTGGTTAAACTGAATAATATTGCAGATACATGTTTCAGACTTTCTTATCTAAATATTTTCTTAGCTATCAATAGCTAAGGTAAGATTGTACTGAAAGTTATAGACTTTATTTTAATTGCTAACATTTATTAAAAGTCAGAATTCATAATGAAATTCAAAAGTAATCATTCAAAGAATTTTGATTTATTTGTTTTTACAGCCTATCTACCCTTTGCAGGTTATTTAAAGCCAGAAAATATTTTTATATTGTAAGAATTTGGAGGAGATAATAATGATTTACTGATACAATTCCTTCTATTTAACTCATAGCTGGGGAGAATAGGTTGATTCATACCTTTCCCAAAGGTATTTGTGCATAAGTGAATGTAACAAACCCAACAGGAAATAGAACTCTGAGCCATTAACCATTACACCATTTGCACATCCAAGCTTAAAGTACCTGCTATTTCCAAACAGTCACTCATCTAGATACTGAGCATGCTTGACGTTGCTTAACTTCAGTGATCATATGAGAACCAGTATTTTAACTTGATATGTCTGTAAGCCTTCCAAAGAATTATTACTATGGCATTAAAGCACATCAATTCATAAAAAACAGTTTTATGAAACATTTTTAAGTAGATTTAAAATCTTCACTCATTAAGTTCAATATCGTTATAACCAAATGGTATAGCAAATGATGAAAGTTCTTTGCCCAAGAGTGATCTTGAATCATGTTAGGTGAGAATATATGTAAATCTTTATGAATAATTGATACTATTAAATACATTTTTGTTTTAGAAGATAAAATACTGATGAGATATTTTCAAAGGGAAAAAAATTAAATTACACTTTGGAAACACATTAACATAGAAAAGTTATTGAAGTTCTTTTTAAAATTAACATTTTTGAAGTTCATAAAAAGTGAAGAATTTGATTGAAACTAACAATGTCAAGAATGAACATTACCTGAGAAGAGTAACTATTTGTGAATTCAAGTGCCTGTAATTAAGATTCTTGCAAATATTTCTAGGTTGTCATCAGAGCCGTTTTGATGAAGACACTCTGCAAATCAGTTTGATTTCTCATCTTCATCATGGTTGCTCATATTTGAGCATGCCCCTCTGCTCAAGCCCATCTGTGTTTTCTTCAACACCTACAGAGCCAACTTGTGGTTTATACTTTATACTACTACTATGTTGAGCGGACCTTAGTTACATTTCAAGTATGTGCCCCACCAGGGCCACATACAGTTTTGAATTCAGAGTAGTCCTCCTTTTGTACTGTTTAAAAGAAGGACAACTCTGAATTCAAAACCATAACAGATAGATACTTTTTCCTTTTAAGTCAATTTAATTACCAGAGTTTTCAGTATTCCTGTCTCCAGCCCACCTTTGAATTGGCAAACATAAAATTTTATTAGTAATTTTAGATAATCATAAAAGTAGAGGCCTTTGAAGAAACTGACCACCCATTCAGCTTTTGTTGTATATACACATACAACTGACCTTGGATGTCATCACAGTTGTGCAGTGACAAACATGCAGAACATGTCATCCCACAGACAAAAAACATGGTGACCGATAGTGCCGACAAACTTTTGAGAGAGCTCACAGCAAACAAACAGTGGCGATAAATGAGGTAGCATTATTCTGTTTACAAAGTATAGCAGTACAACTCCACGGTCTGCAAGCAAGTGACAAAAGACTGGCAAAGAATAACATTTTATGAAAATAAACTGGTCACAAAAGCAAATATTTAATGTTGACTTGCATATAAAGTTCTTATTTTATTTTAATTTGAATTTATTGATCTTACCTTGTTTGTGTGATAGAAAAACTTCTTCAACCTTCCCACTCTAAAAATAACCTTTTTCTCTTTTTTTTTCCCCCCAACTAATTCTTTCATTTGAATAGTTTGCCATTCCTTCTGTAGAAAATTATACTGTTATATTCTGTGCTAATAGGAATATATACTTGAAAAACATGGTGGATAAAATAAGTAAAGGTTTATTGTAAAAACCAGTACAATAATAATAAAGGTAACAGTTATGCACAAGGTCATCGCAGGTCGGTAGTTCTCGCATAAGTTTGAGTCGTACTCAACAGATCCCAGCTAGAAATATTTACCAGCCTCCCCACGAGGTAGGATGTGGCACAAGGCCAAATTTAATGTGGGGGAAATCCAAGCCCATAGGCTCAGCCAAAAATTCCCTGTAATCCTGCATAAATGGGTTTGGGTCTGTCTACCTCCCTAGATGAGACTGCCCGAAGGTAGAGAGTTCAACAACAGCTAAGAACTGAGTAACAGATCCCAGCTAGTATATTTAGCTACCCCCCCACGAGGGTTGCATGTGGCACAAGGCCAGTTTAATGTGGGTTCTCCGAGCCCATAGCCTCAGCCAAAAATATTCCCTTTTTGAACCTGCATAAACGGATTCAGGGTCAGTCTACCTCCCCGAACGAGACTCTGCCCTTTGTCGGAGCCTCGTCCAGGTTCCTCTCCACTCAGAGGCAGAGAGTTCAACTGTTTAACTGAAACAGATTCTAGCTAGTCTCTGTATTGCATTGACTTACAGATACTTATAGGTATTTACTACCTATAGTGTAGTCATTCATGGGGGTGACAGGTTCTTCCATTACATCATATACATTATTCAGATATTCAGTATTCTACAAGGGAGAAAAAAATTTCCAACACAGTATCAATAAAAACAGCAACAATTTGTTAATGGTGAAATTGTACTACAAAATGACACCAAAGAGTGACACCAAACACCAACCAAAAAAAGAAATAACCAGTTCTTATTGAATACCACAATAATGTTTGTAAATGTTATCGAGTACATCCTCTCTGGCACAATATGCTGCCAAACTACTATGGCAGAAAAGTGAAAAAGGAAATTCTTCTTCAAAAGAAAAACTGACCAAAAATATTTTCTGCTAATGTTCCACTCAGTTTTTCTATTTCTTATATGACTGTTAAAAAAAAAATGAAAAATGAAACCTCTTTAGATATAAATAATGTACCTGCTGATTGCAGTTCAAGTCTCATAACTGATAGCTTATCGCATTTAAAACCAAAATTTAAGTTAGCAGTTGAATTAATTAAAAATATATTGCTACTGTTAATTATTGCTGATAATTAATCTACCGATTTGCCTTAGGCATGAAATGCAAATTTGGTGGTTCCTGTTCAAATTACTAATGCAACTGAAAGAATTAGAAAAATTACACAAACAACCATTCTTACATAAACTGTTATGATGTTGATTTGGGGTTAGTAGAGACAAACGCCAAATAACATGTAACAATAAAAAGGGTTTTAATAGGTTGGTAAAAAGGTACAGAAATCGCCTGAGTAGTCAATAACTAGCTCAGCTAAGAACTTCTCTGTCTATCTGTCTTCCCCATGTCAACTGACATGCCACTATTTAAAGTCTTTGTTCACAGACACAGACAAGTTCATCTTCAAGAGGGGTGGTAGGTTTCCGACACAACATAAACAAAAAATATAATATCATTAACTTATTCTCTTGTAACCATATAGTCTAACTATAAAGAAGATGAAAAAGCTATTAAAAATATAATTTGATGGTTCATGTTATTTAATGATTGAAATAAATATCTTAAATCTGGGCTTACAGCCACATTACTTTGAAACACCAATTCCTATACAATAACCAAAGTTAAGCAATGCCGAACCTGGTCAGCACCTAGATGGGTAACAGCTTGATAATAGCAGTTGCTGTAAGCTTGGATATACAGGTGGTGTAATGGATAATGGCTCAGAATTGTTAATCAGAGAACTGAGTTCCAATTCCGATTAGGTTCATTATATTCACTTATGCACAAATGCCTTTGGGAAAGGTATGAATCCACCTCTTCTCCTCCCAGCTATGGGTTAATTAGTAAAACGTGTATCAGTAAACCATTATTATCTCAAAAAAAAAATTCTTACAATCTAAAAATATTTTCTGGTTTTAAATAACTTGTAAAAGGCTGATAAGCTGTAGAAAACAAGTCAATCAATCAAAAAACCTTAAATCTATCATTTACTATCATAGTTTGAATATTGCAGCCACATATGATTTGATACACTAGCTATATATTTAGAGATCCTTGATAGAATCCAAAGAATAATCTGCAATTGGTCCTGACCTGGCATCTTCACTTCGGTCATTTTCCCACCAGCCCAATGTAACTTCCTTGTGCCTTTTCTATAAATACTTTCATAGTAAATTTCTGTCCTTTTATTGTCCTCTCTCT